TGTGTGTGTGTGTGTGTGTGTGTGTGTGTGTGTGTGTGTGTGTGTGTATGGGTGTGTGTATGTATCTATATCCCTTTTTTTAGAACAATTATTTCTTTAGCTTCATGGTCTAATTTTCCACCCAGATATTCTGGATTTTCAATTGTATGGCAAACTTTCTCTATCTTCTCTAAATTCCGTCAGTGGAGGAAAAGGGTAAAAAGCTGACATAGGGCAGAAAACAAATGGATTTAATAAGTAAAACAAATTTTGGGAAATGGTATAATTAAACTACTTTAAAGTTATCATATGTCCTAAATATGGAGGCTTAGGCAGTATTACTAATAGAATAAGTATAATAATAACTAAAGAACATTAATACAATACTACCAAACTCCTATCTGGAGTTCTGCACAAAGAATTCTCAAAGACTGAAGGACTTAGCATGCTTCAAGACAGTACCATGACAAGATAATATTTAAGGTCTAAGTCATTTATTTTTTTAAAATAATACCTTTCAAAGGGGGAAAAATTCACAACATATTTCAACTCTCAAACAATAGTGTCAAAATCATATAATCCACTTACTCTATAATGAAATTTGGGCACAAATGCTCCTAATTTTTGTACATTATTCAAATACTTGGAATCTTCACTCTCCAATGACATTACAAGACTCTTTTAAGGTTCAATGGCAAAATAAAGGGTTGTTTTTTAATTATATAGAAAATAATTTAAAACATACCTTCTGTGAGCATGTCTGGTATATCTGCTTGATATCTAGGTCCTACTCTTATTTCCCCTTTGTCTGCTAAAAGTGTTTTCAATGAAGGATCATAAACCAAAGAATAGAAAAAGGTATCCTAAAAAAAAATTGTATATATGTCAATCAAGCAAGCAAACAACAAACATTTCTTAAGTGCACATTGTGTGCCAGGTACTGTGCTAAGCACTACGGATACAAAAAGAGGCAAAAGCTAGTGCTTGCCCTCAAGGAGCTTACAATCTAATGGGAGAAACAACATGGAAATACACATATGCAAAGCAAACCATACACAGAATAGGAAATAATTAAAAGAGGGAAAGCACTGGAATTAAGAGGAGTTAGGGAAGGCTTTCTGTAGAAAGTGGGATTTTTGTTGTGACTTAAAGGAAGTCAGGGAGGTCAGTAGATGGAATGGCAGAGGGAGATTGTTCCAGGCATGGGGGACAGCCAGCTGTATATATGCATATGTAAATAAACATAATTCTCCAAATGTTCTTATATGTGACAACAAAAATGTAAAATCTTGAGACTGACACTTACTCAACATAGTGAATGAAAGAATAAGCCTTTAGCAACAGACTATGTTTATCATCATCATCATAGGATTACTAAGGAAATGTCAAAAAATGAAAAGCCACAAAATTCAAGCAAAATAGAAAACAGTGGTGATAAGTTTTATTAGGGATGTACTTGAGGTGTTCGTGTAATCAAAACCAAAAGTATCATTAGTATACTGAAACTCAATCTCACAATAGCAAAATGAGAATATAAAAGACATGAAAACCTAGATTCCTATAAGTAATGTGCTTTCCAATTCTTTTCAGCTTTAAAATTTTATTATTTTGTGAATCATGAGAGGAAAATACTTTTCTTCAAATAATGTTACATTAAGGCTACTCTGAGTATTTGGGAGTTTGTTTTTAAAATATTTAAGAAGCCAGAAAAAACCTCAAAAATGAGATGAATTTTGACCCCTGAAGACAAAAAAAAAAAATCAAAGCAGAGGAAATTGCCTAGTGATTTTGCAGAGTTGTCTTTTCTATTTCTTAGGTACATACATTCTGGGCTAAAGCAAAGCATACCCAGGCAGGACAGCCCTATTTTCCTCTTTGTCTTCCCTTAGTTATCCATCCAATGCCATATATGCCATCTAAATCTATGGTGTTCCAGGCCTTCAATTTGCATAAAATCCAAGTACACTGTCAGTGACGAAGTTATCTGTCTCCCACTTGGACCCAAAGTCTTGTATCCTTCCTATTTGTGTGAATGACTGAACTGACTACCACGACACTATGGAATGATGTGGTATGGGGAAGGTTGTGGGGCACGACCTCACACACACAGAATTTCTGAAGGGTTTCATGGGGACCCATTGCATCCAGGGTGGATACAGTTGTTAAATAGGGAGCCAATGTATAGATTGTATCCTTAAAGAACATTGTAACAACAGAAAGGCATTGAACATGGCTGCTGATGGCTCAGTAATTAAGTGTATTTGAAACTATAGATGACACTTTGAATTGGCATTCCATAAAACTTGAGTTTCTGTTATATTATAAAGTAAAATCTGTGCTTTTTTTTTTAAATGTAGGAAGTTTCTACTGAGGAACTTCTTCCAGCAAGGCAAATGAGCCCACTCTCTTTAACTTCAGCCTTAGAATTGCCAAGGGCACTGAAAGGTTAAGTGATTTGCCCAGGGTCACACAACCAGTATGTGACCAAGGTAAGATTAAACCCAGGTCTTCCTGGTCCTTCTAAGGTCAGCCCTCTATCCACCATGCTATGCCGCATTTTTTTTAATGTAGTAAAACAAATGAGTTTAAATCTTTATGTCAAATAAGTAGTTCAAAAAAGCATACTTCTAACACCAGGGTCCAGGAAAGAAATTTGGCTAGTCAGGTTACAAAAGAGGGAAGAGCTCCTACCCCTTCCACCACCACTCTTCATACTTCCACTACCAATGCAAAACAGCACCTTCTAAGCAACTTAAGGATATTAAATATTTGCTTTGGACACTGAGAAGTTAACTGACTTGTCCCAGGGTTCCCTGTTGGTTATGTAGTAGAGATAAGATATGAACCAAGGTCTTCTAAGGCAGAGATTCAAGACCAGCTCATTATCCACTATGCCAGGCAATCTCTCCCCTTCACTCTTTAACATTAAATTTTAACAAATATATATACATATATATCATTATTATTATATTATCTCCAAGCTTAAAGGTAGAAAACCTGTAAAATTGAACACTTGCTGTTATCTCTACTTTCATGAACAAATGTTATTCTCAGAACAATTTCATCATCATATTAAACAGCATTTCAAATATCATAAAACCTATGAAGCAAATAAAAAAAGCAAAGTAAATGTAATTTTTAAATCAAGTGACTAAAGAAATATGCCATTTAATTAAGCTATAAGGGTTCTAAAAAGGCAATTTCTATGGTTATCATTGGTGTATAAAGATATTAATTTACTAAATATATTTTCTTCAGCTGTACTATAAGAGGGATCAGCTATTCATAATCTAATGTGTTCAATTTACTAACAAATGGTTACTCCCCTAGAAACATTATTTTCCACAAGGGCTGAAAAAAAGAGGATTGATTCTAGTTAATACAAGGTGAATGGTGAATCGAGGCTATAATGTCACTTTGATAACAGAAGTTGATAAACATTTTAATTTTTACAAAGACATACTGTAAAGGGAAGAGGAGCAAATTAAAGTTACATTCATTACCTCTTTGTCAAGATATGACAAAACTGATTCTGTCTCATTAAGAAGCGCAACACTGCATTTCCCCCTATGCAAAGAGAAAAAAAGGAATATTTAAGTAGACAATCTGGCTAGGTACTACTGGCAATATTTAAATTGTAGACGATATATGGAGATGAAGACAAAACATCAAAAATGGTAATGAGGAATATATTTAATCTATATAACAATATCTGCTTATAACAGGAGTGAAGAACTAAGCTTACACTATATTTATTGAGTGTCTAGTGAAAGGCACAGAATCTATGAATTAAAGGCAATTACAAAGTTCATTGATCAGGTGAGATTTTATTGCTTTTGGTCTGAGATAAAATATACAGAGCAAGAGAGTGATCAGAGCTACAGTAAGTTTCAGAAAAAGAAAAGATTTAACATTTCAAAAATGATTTAATACAAGAGACCATAAGACCAGTGCACCATGTTTTCAACAGTTTCAGCTCTCTTTTTAAAGTAATTAGCGCAATAAACAGAAATTCTATAGGAATAGTAGACATCTATGTCAGACAGTAGATAGAGTACAGGACTATACCCTCTTGCAGGGCTAAACACATCATTTAGCCAGCTCTGGAGTAAAGTCAACCTAGAAGGCCACATGAGACAACTACTAAAAGCTTATCTATAGAGCATTCAGAAGCCAATGGGACCCACCTATTGTTGGTTATGGTCTTTGTCTATCCAGCCACAAAAGTTAACAACAGGCATCGAGCCAACACAGGGGAGGGAAACCTGCAGCCTCCAGGCCCCAGGTGGCCTTCTAGGTCCTCAAGTGCAATCTTTTGACTGAATCCAAGCTTTACAGAACAAATCCCCCTTAATAAAGGGATTTTTGTTCTGTAAAACTTGGACTCAGTCAAAAGGCTGTTCCCCATCCCTGGCCTATACCACATTTGCCTTGCTTGAGCACAGAACCTATAGAATATCACCCCTGTAGTTGTTATGGATGAAAGCATTCTTTCCATAGTGTTTTTTGGTATCATGAACTGTGTTTGGTGTCAAAGAATTTGATAGTACAGGATTGTTATAGATTTAGAAATGGAGGATGGAGCCCTGTTACTTATCCTATATGTGCTAATGGGAATGGTAGGGCATGAGCAGAAACGCTCTCAAAGGTCTGTAGTCTATAATGAGGCATGGATGAACAGATAGATGTCTGAGACATGACCATGTAAGATTCCATCTTTAACTGGAGAAGAGCTGGGAAGTAAGACAGGGACATCTAACAGCAATGGAAATGACTTTGAGTAAACACTGATTAGAAAAAAAAGTAATAATAAAAATGACAGCTGATATTCATATAGCATTTTAACAGTTTACAAAATGCTTTATAAACACATGAAATCATATATGTGTGTATGTATGTATGTATGTATATATGTATAAAAAATTTGATCTGGGGCAGCTAGGTGGCGCAGTGGATAGAGCACCAGCCCTGAAGTCAGGAGGACCTGAGTTCAAATCCAACCTCAGACTATACACTTGTCACTTACTAACTGTGTGACTCTGGACAAGTCACTTAACCCCAATTGCCTTAAAAAAATTGATCCTTATGACTCAGTTGATCCTTATGAAACAAATACCATTATCTCTCATAGATTAAAAAACTGAAGTCATTAAGTGACTTGTATAGTAAGTGCTAAACATAAGATTTGAACTCAGGTCTACTTCTATTCAGTGACTAGGGAGCTTCTGGCCATAAAGACTTGTTTGAGCTAGAGAAAGCTTTTGAACTTTTTGTTTGAGCTTGTCCAACTATTTAATAATCCCATGTTGTTGTTCAGTTGTGTCTGACTCTTTGTGACACCGTGTTCCATAGCATGCCTGGTTGTGACCTGAGGGGTCACATGATGTCAAACCTTTAAGCATTTTAATATGGTCCACGGCATTTTCTTGGCAAACATACTGGAGTGGTTTGCTATTTTCTTTTCCAGTTGATCACCTTTTGTCAAAGCTCTCCACTATGACCTGTCCATCTTGGGTAACCCTGTACAGCATAGCTCATAGTTTCATTGAGCTATGCAAGCCCCTCTGCCATGACAAGGTAGTGATCTAGTGGAGTGATCGAATTACCCTACAGTAAATGCAAAAATCTGAAGCTGATACTGCTATGTGTCAAAAGATTTATATCAAAGACCCGGTGACTAAGATTAGTACATTGAAAATATTCAAATAAGTCCGATAACTTGTAATATTCATCTTATTTCTGAGTAAAAACAGAGGGTGGAAAAAGGAAAATAATTCAATTTAACTGCAATAATGTAGTTCAACATCATTTGCTCCTTTATAAACACTGGTATTTAATAAATAAATGCCCAGGTCTCTTCTCTAACTTCGATTCTACACTGATTGGAGGGTGGGGGCAGGGAGAGACAGTGGGGGGAAGGGGACATCAATCTATTTATGCATTAGGAGTTATTCTTACACCAAGAAGGCAGTACCAGGAATCTGTCATCTCAGGGCTACAAAGGTCACATATACACCTCCTGGATTAAAGATGACCTATAAGGCTAGATCAGACAATTATTAAATTCCTCTCTATAGAATGTATAGAAGTCAATGGGCCCTACCCACTGCTGTGTATAATATAAGCACAAATATAATACAATAAAATATTTCAAAATTCAAATTATATTGATTCACAAGTGAAAAATTATCTTAAGTGAATTAATGTATGCATTCACATTCATTAAAAAAAAAACAACAACCTTTTTGTTCATGCAAATGTTTCCTTTTTTCTGAAATGATCATCTAACTCAAATAACAATTCTGAGATTTCTCTGAGGGTCTATTCATTTCTTCTGAATCTCTAATTTCACTTTCAGAAGAATCATGAAGGTTTATCTCTGAGAAAAGGTATTACTTTTTAAAACTTATTTCATTCGTTCATGTTATACACAGACAAAAACTGGTATTACCTCAGTGCTCCTTCTAATACTGAAAAAAAAGACTGAACTTTATAATGCATAGTGAAAACAAGGAAAGGTGTCTTGTGTTCCATCTTACAGATGCTACTGAACACAGCAGACTCAACTGAAGTAGGAATACTATGATTATACACAGAGTAAGATAAAATTGGCTTTCTAAAATGAGCCTTGAATTATTCTGCTTTACCACCCTATCATGAAGGAATTTTTGGATTATTTAATAATCTTTTAGAGGGCATAATTTGAGGTCCCACTGAAGTCACTTTACAGTATCTAAAAAGCAAAGAATATGACCTGTTGAAGGTTAAAGGATGCTATTAATATTTATGGCCACTGCATTTTTTTAAAAGATTTAACAAGATCTACCACACTCTTGTATCTAAGTAGATAAAACATTTTCATCTAAAATTTCACCAATACTCTCTCTGAGTACCATAACAATAGCAACAAACAGTTGGATTAAATAAATTTGGTGGGAAAAACAAAATAACTTTGAGGAAAGAACCTACAAAAGGTTAAATAAACAAAGAGTAACTACATGGTTTTAACACTTAAAAAAAAACTCTTCCTCTTTAGGAGCAATTTCATAGGACTTGGCATAGCTTGTTTAATAAAAGATTAAGAAACATTTTGTAATTGTCATACTAGCTATATAATATTATCACTAAAAGTGCTTTTAGGAGAATTTTTACAATGTGCTTTTTAAAGTTGTGTTGCATCATTTGTATCACAGTAAAATCTTTGTTCAATAAATATAAATGAGGTCTTTCCAGAAAAATTGATGCTGTAGTCACAAAGACACTCACAGATGATACACTAAAACTCTTGACATTTTAAGTATTTATGCAATACTATTCTACTGATTTTCACAATAATCTCCAAACAGCCAGACTACATTTTAACATGGTATGTGCCATGTGCAACACATTATCAATGCAATTCCTATGCTTAGAGACAGATGCCAAATGCTCTTAAATGTTTTTATGGCATGAATATAATATGCAGACATTATGTGACTGTGTAAATGCATATTAGTGTCTTTCATAGATACCATATGTAAGTGTGTATATGTATATTACTGTCTTTTACATTATACATGTGAAAGAAATAACAGAAATGTGTATCCAGCAATCTTCTCTCTAATGCAAACAGAAAAATTTCCTTTACTCTTCATTCATTGTTTTTTTTTAAAAAGGCATAATCATGTTACAAAAATATCTGGATCAGCTAAGCCACATTAAGTATAAAATGGCAGGTCTAGCTCACTACCAAAGTATACTGCACAATTCATCTACCACAAATGACTGAATCAGTATTCACTATGACATAACATAACATTAGGGTGGAATCATAAGAAAGGAGATCAATGGCCACAGGACAACACTTAGCTTCTATGGAAACTAGCAGGATGGGGAGAAGGAATTCATTTGTTCAACAAGCATTTGTTGAGTGACCAGTATATGGACAAACACTGTATTAGGACCTTGAGGTGCAAAGACAAAAATGAAACAGTCCTCACAAAGCTTATGTTCCATTGGTGGAAAACAGATAAATTACACATAAAAAGAAATTTGGAGGAGACAGGCACTAGCAGGCTGGGGAGATTTAACTTCATGCAAAAAGAAGATAGTTTTCTTCAAAGCCTAGCCTAAGTGCTAGGGGAATATGCTAAGAAGTAGAGACACCATGAAGCAAAACTCCAAAAGACATGACTTGGCTTCGTAAGACAGAAAGCACACACCTCAGAATTCTACCTTGAATTAATAAATAATGTGAACTGCTTAAAAAGCTCCATGGTGCACAGTAAAGAAAACACATTGAATATGTACCAGAAGCCACAGTGACAGGTAAAAAAGCAAAGGCCAAAATAAGACCATAAAATCATAGCTTATTAAAGATGGCTACTGCAATAGAGCTACAGATTCAAATTCTCTTCTACCAGATTCCTATTCCTAACAATCTCACAATGTCATTAATCAGAAAGTAGGTATTAGTGGCCCGTCATATCCTAGGACCATTGGTATAGTGAAATATAAAATATGATCCCTCGTCTTATGGAGCTTACAACTCATTTGGGAAGGCGAGATTAACAATTCACAGAGATCTG